ATAAAGTAGTTATCTACTTTTCAACTAACCCTATGTTTTCATATTTACCCCTATTAAACATTCTATAATAAATATAAAGTCATTATCAATAGGGGTGCTTTTGGAAAAAATGCAATAATTATATCTTGAAAGACTAAAAATGCTTTACATTTTTGAACATTCAACTCCTCAAAAAATTTCTTAAATTTTTAAATATAGAGAGTATATGTTATGAAAACCATGGTCACAATCATAATAATTATTTATATTTTACAAAACTCTTTTCTTTTTGGAAGTTCAAAAAAGAATAATGTTGAAGTGCTTAGTTGTCGAAGTAGGTAAAGTATTAAGTGATTGGGGATGAAAACAAGCTAGGTCGAGTTAGACTTTGACTAAATAGGCCTGAGGCTATATAATAAATTAGAGGTTTGAGCCTGGCCTAAAACTTGTATAAGGCTTTTCTTCACAGCTCAAGCTTGAGCATATTTAAAGCTTAGCCTAGCCTAAAAGATTATTTAAAAGCTTGCTGAAAAATAAGTCTTTTAAATATACTCACATTTTAGTTTTAAACATTTTAAATATACTTTAGAAATATTATAGTACACAATATATAATCTGATTTATCAATTACAATATATAATAATCGAAAGGATTTACCAACTACAATAAAATATAATAGTAAAGTAACAACATTAAAATTAAAATTAATATATAAATCAAATATGATTGAAATATAACTAAAAATAAAAAAATAGATTGATTAAAAATCAAACAGTGAAATTGATGTGTTTGTGATATATTACATAATATGTATGTATAAATAGGCCAACTTGTTAGACTTGTAGACTAAATCTTAAAAAATAAGCCCGACTATTTAATTAAATAAGTCTAATTAAAAACATAAATTTAATTTAAATTTATTTAATAAATAAGTTAGACTGAACTTGAAGTTGATCGAACCTATTCCCAATCTTATAACTGACCATCGTACATAAAATCTCCATGTGAGATTATTGGAAGATAGCAGGCGGACCCACGTACATGTTGACTAGTGACTACCGCCATCTTCATGAATCATGTGTGGGTGTGTATCGCGGGTGTACGTAATAACACCGCTTTTCTTTTTTTTTTTTTTTTTGCAAAAGATATAATTTTTTCATTTGTAAAATTTATGAATTAATTTAATTTTTTAACAATCTTACAAATATTTTGTTAAAAATACTTTAATTTTTTAATTATGTTAAAAAATTAAAATTATTAATTGGCCCTTATAAGCCAATTGTCTACTCCACCTATTTTAAGAAACTTTAAATAATTAAGTGCGACAATATTTAAATAAATAATTTAAAAATATTATGATCAAATTAATGAATTATTTTCCTATTTCATTGAGCTTTTTTTTTTTTTTTTTACACAAACCTTTCTTAAAATCAAAAGTCACATAAAGCAATTCAGAAAGTGTATTGTTAATGGTCTTCATCATTGTAGTGCTAAAGTCCTATGACAATGGACAAAACGTTGCCGTGTGAACAGTGAGATAGCACGCGATGGCATCGTAGTCTGACGGCCAAATTTCTTTCAAATCCACATCTTCTTTCGTTTTTTTTTTTTGTTAAGTAAAAAAGTTTAGGTGCTTAGCGATTTACTGAAAGATAAGATAGCAGGCGGACCCACGTACATATTGACTAGTGACTACCGCCATCTTCATGAATCATGCGTGTGTGTATCGCGTGTGTACGTAATGACACCGCTTTTTTTTTTTTTTTTTTGCAAAAGATATAATTTTTTTATTTGTAAAATTTATGAATTAATTTAATTTTTTAGCACTCTTTCAAATATTTTGTTAAAAATTTTAAAAATACTTTAATTTTTTTATTTATGTTAAAAATTAAAATTATTAATTGGCCCTTATAAGCCAATTGTCTACTCCACCTATTTTAAGAAACTTTAAATAATTAAGTGCGACAATATTTAAATAAATAATTTAAAAATATTATGATCAAATTAATGAATTATTTTCCTATTTCATTGAGCTTTTTTTTTTTTTTACACAAACCTTTCTTCAAATCAAAAGTCATTGTAGTGCTAAAGTCCTATGACAATGGACAAAACGTTGCCGTGTGAATAGTGAGATAGCACGCGATGGCATCGTAGTCTGACGGCCAAATTTCTTTCAAATCCACATCTTCTTTCGTTTTTTTTTTTTTTTTTGTTTGTTAAGTAAAAAAGTTTAGGTGCCTAGCGATTTACTGAAAGATAAGATAGAAGGCGGACCCACGTACATATTGACTAGTGACTACCGCCATCTTCATGAATCATGTGTGGGTGTGTATCGCGTGTGTACGTAATGACACCGCTTTTTTTTTTTTTTTGCAAAAGATATAATTTTTTCATTTGTAAAATTTATGAATTAATTTAATTTTTTAGCACTCTTTCAAATATTTTGTTAAAATTTTAAAAATACTTTAATTTTTTTTTTATGTTAAAAAATTAAAATTATTAATTGGCCCTTATAAGCCAATTGTCTACTCCACCTATTTTAAGAAACTTTAAATAATTAAGTGCGACAATATTTAAATAAATAATTTAAAAATATTATGATCAAATTAATGAATTATTTTCCTATTTCATTGAGCTTTTTTTTTTTTACACAAACCTTTCTTAAAATCAAAAGTCACATAAAGCAATTCAGAAAGTGTATTGTTAATGGTCTTCATCATTGTAGTGCTAAAGTCCTATGACAATGGACAAAACGTTGCCGTGTGAATCGTGAGATAGCACATGATGGCATCGTAGTCTGACGGCCAAATTTCTTTCAAATCCACATCTTCTTTCGTTTTTTTTTTTTAAGTAAAAAAGTTTAGGTGCCTAGCGATTTACTGAAAGATAGGAATTGTGATAATAATCTTTAATGTTGATCTATTCGGTTATTATCTATTTTATAAAAAGAAATACATAATATTTTTAATATTTATATTAATTAATTAACACTTCAATTTAAAAAATTTAAAATTCAAAATTGAATCACCGTAGATATGAGAACTGAATCTAAATTCAATATCTAATTTCATTTCTAATTAAGGTCCTTGATAGGAATTAACTTTGTTCTTTTGACCAAAAGGTTCCTCTTTATAATTACTCATTTTCTATTTTTTGTATATAATTTTTCCCCCAACACTTTTGCTTTATTTTTTTAAATACACATATTTTCTATTTTCCAACACTTTAAATTTTCAAAAATTAATTTTTTTTCTTATTAGTGAATTTGACTTGCTTTTTTGGGAAAAAACTTTAAATTTTAAAGTGTTTAACTTTAATTTTTTATAATACTTATATTTTTAGTTTTTGTAATTATATATTTTTCCAATACTCAATTTCACATAATCGAATTTTTTTTTTTCAAATGAATCACTTTATCTTTCGAATCTTGGAAAAGAGATCAGGAGAGTGAACCTAGAAAAAATTCATGCGTGAAGAAGAGGGGAGAACATAATTTAAAAGACTATAGCTTATTAAAAAGAATATTTTTTTACACTTACAAACCACAATTCACTTGTGAAAACCTTTAATATGAGACTTATAACAATATATTTATGTTCGAGTGCTATTGTCTATGAGATCTCTACTTCATAGCATTTCACTTGATTTATTGCTAGTCATCAGAACTTTTCATAGATAGCTCTTTTCGTAACATCAGTTTCTTAATAAAAATACAAATATCATGAATACAAGTCGAAATCATTCCAAATGAAAAAAAAAAATCAGCATCATACTGGCAAGGACAATTATTTAGATTTACAAGACTTTATTTGTGAGTTCCCAAGCCAATATATGAACTCATAGCAAGAAATGTCTAATAGTTTGCTTTTATAAACTAGATTGTAGGCTCTAACAGAAAGTTGAACTATGATAAATCCTATGCTGTAGAATTTTCTTCTTATCCTTATTTAGTTTATATATCTTTGCAAATTTCTTCATACCTTATTAAATTTCTGCTTATATTGAAGATATTCTGATACAAATATAATAAATGACCCAAAATATAATCTAACCTTTTTGTGTCAAACGAAATTTCTCATTATTTGTAGAAGTAATTTATAATGAATAAGAACTTATTAAACTTCCAGTGGTTAACTATCCCTCAAAATAAAAAGTGGTAGCCTTTATTTTCAAAAAGGGAAAGGAACTATGGCACAAAAATTTACAGGACATGCAACACAATACAATCATCACTGCTTCTTTTCTCTCTCTCCCTCTCTCTCTATTTTGATATTTTCACTTCACACTCTCTTTCCATCATTATTCAATGCCACTTAATGGATCAAACATGCCCTTAAAGTATCTTCAGAAAATGTTGACGCAACAAAGTCTTTGGTGACAAACGTGTTAGTTAAGATATCTATCACAGACTGAATTTATTCTAAAGTCATTACTCATATGTCCTTAATTGGTTCCTTATTATACATATTAATGATAAAACAACTAAGGAGTAATTTATCAGATTTAGTCACAGCATTTTCAATTTTTAATTAGTAAGTAATGTATAATCTTATACACCTGGAAAGGGTTACTGTGAAGAACAATGTAAAAATGCTGTGAGTACGAGTATATAAAGGGAGAGTCTATTTTAAAACATGCATTAGGCTCCTCAATATGAGATTCATATATAACAATGCACTTGTAGTCTATTCTAATAAGCTTGTTTCTTAATCTTTACTTCTCAAGTTAGCCTGACTTGCGCGTTTGAAGAAAAGTCCTCAATCAGCTACATTGCACATGTAGAGTCATGGATTCTTTGCACTTACAATGTTCATGCTCTCTTCAGTCAATGTCATTTAGCTCCATCAATTCAAGTGGTAATTTACACGTGTTGAGTAAGTTACCTTGTAGGTTGGGAATATAGAAAGTAAGAAAATAAATTATTGTTACCACATTTACTTGTGTGTGTGTGTGTGTGTATTACATCTAGCATCCTTTGTGTTCACGCCATCCTCATTTGATTTAAAATTCCCTTCATAACAATGGAATTCGTATTAGGAAAACCTCAGTTTTCTGGAATGTTAACACTTTGGTGGGTTGCCTTTATGATCAACTTCATAACTTTCTCTTCATCACATGTCTCCTCTTCCACAACTTCACAAAATAGTGAAGCAAATGCTTTACTGAAGTGGAAAGCCAGCCTTGACAACAAAAGCCAAGCTCTATTATCATCGTGGAATGGTAATACTAGTCATCCTTGCAATTGGGTTGGAATTACATGTGATGAATTCAACTCCATTTCCAATATTTCTCTTCAAAATCATGGATTAAGAGGTACGCTTTATAACCTCAATTTCTCATCTTTCCCAAATCTCCGATTCATAGCCATACATCAAAACTCATTTTATGGGATTATCCCTTCTCAGATTGGTGAGCTGTCAAAACTTAACATTATAAATTTTTTCGATAATGAGTTCTTTGGTAGCATTCCAAAAAGTATTGGCAACTTGTCCTCACTATCAAAACTTCATTTGAATAACAATAATCTCTCTGGAACACTTTCATCTTTGATCACACAATTGACAAGGAATATTGTTGTTCTAGACTTGGGTTTCAATTATTTCAATGGCTGCATCCCTGAAGGTATAGAAAATTTGGCCAACTTGTCTTACCTAAATCTAGGAAGCAATCTCCTTTTTGGCCACATTCCCCCCCAAATTGGAAGGATGATAAACCTCTGGTACTTAACACTTGGAGGTAATCAGTTAGTTGGCTATGTTCCCCATGAAATTGGATTGTTGAAGGAACTTCTTCAACTTGACATGTCTAAAAACAATCTCATTGGTAGCATCCCTAGTACTATCGGAAACATGTCTAATTTACAAGATCTTTATTTTTATTCCAATCAAATCTCAGGGTCCATTCCATGGGAAGTGGGGAAACTCTACCACATGGTAACATTACAATTGTTAGACAATGACATATCGGGACCAATCCCATACTCTATAGGGAATATGGCCAATCTGGTCACCCTCCTTCTTCATGAGAACCATCTTTCTGGATCTGTTCCTTCAAGTATTGGAAACTTGACCAAACTCACCTTGCTAGCTTTGTATGAAAACAATCTTTCTGGACTGATTCCTTCTAGTATTGCAAAGATGACAAAGCTGTCCGTACTAAGTTTGTTTCAAAACAAACTTAGTGGCAATCTTCCATCAGAAATGAATAACCTTACCAAGTTGCAATCCTTGCAAATTTCTAACAATAATTTCAAAGGTCATTTGCCCCAAGACATTTGCCATGGTGAGGTACTAGCTTACATTAGTGCCAATCAAAATCATTTCAGTGGTCCAATTCCTAGAAGTTTGAAGAATTGCTCTGGCCTTAGAAGAGCCAGACTTGAAAATAACCGATTCACAGGAAATATAGTTGATGCTTTTGGTGTATACCCACACTTGTACTACATTGATTTGAGTAACAATGCATTTTATGGCCACTTGTCACCTAATTGGGGTAAGTGCCATAATCTTTCAAGCCTCAAGATATCCAATAATTACTTATCAGGGTGCATACCATTGGAGTTATTTGAGGCAACGAAGTTACAGAGACTTGATTTGTCTTCAAATCAATTGATAGGAAAGATCCCAAAAGAATTGAGTCAATTGTCATTATTGACTGAGCTTATGTTGAGCAACAATCAATTTTCAGGAAACATTCCCCCTAGTTTAGGATCACTGAAGAACCTTGAACAGTTGAGTCTAGCTAACAATCACTTAAGTGGTTCAATTCCAAAAACAGTTGGTCAATTGATCAAGTTATGGGCATTGAATTTAAGTGGAAATAAGTTCTACAGCCTTCCTTCTAGCTTTGGCCAGCTGCAACATCTTCAATATCTTGATCTTAGTGGAAACTCTTTCACTGGATAAATCCCGACCATACTTGGAGAGCTACAACAATTGGTAATGTTAAACCTCTCACATAGTAATTTCTCTGGTACCATACCTTCATCTTTTGATAACATGAAAAGCTTGATTTCAATTGATATATCACAAAATCAATTAGAGGGTCCACTTCCAAATATTTCAGCCTTTCGTACGGCTACAATGGAAAGATTAAGAGGCAACAAAGGCTTATGTGGCATTGTATTTGACTTGCCAATTTGCCCAAAAAAAAAACAACTGAAGCCATCACAAGGGTAAGAAAATGGTAATTTTTGTTGTCTCCTTTGTTTTGGGATGTGTGACGATGCTAGTAATACTTTACAAGGGATTTTTATATATTATTTTCCATCACAATGGAAGAAAATTAAAAAGTCAAGAAAGGGAACTGCAAACTCAAAATTTGTTTGCTTTGTGGAATTTTGATGGGAAAATAGCGTATGACAACATTATTGAAGCCACAGAGGAATTCAATGAAAAATATCTCATCGGAGTTGGAGGGCATGGAAGTGTCTACAAAGCTGAATTATCCAATGGTCAAGTTGTAGCTGTGAAGAAGCTTCATTCAATACCAGAGAGGGATTTGTCTCATCAAAAGGCTTTTATGAGGGAAATTCATGCATTGACAGAAATTAGACATCGGAATGTAACCAAACTGCATGGCTTTTGCTTGCATACAAAGTTCTCCTTTTTGATTTATGAATTCCTTGAAGGGGGTAGCTTGGATAAGATAATAAGCAATGAGACACAAGCAATTGCATTGGATTGGAATAAAAGAATAAAAGTTGTTGAAGGTGTGGCTAATGCTTTAAACTATCTTCATCATGGATGCTCCCTTCCAATAGTTCATCGTGACATCTCAAGCAAAAATGTTATTTTAGACTCAGATTATGAGGCTCACATATTCGATTTTGGAGCAGCCAAACTTTTGACTCCTAACTCAAGCAATTGGACCATGTTTGCTGGCACCTTTGGTTATGCTGCTCCAGGTTAAGACTTTTTTTTTTTTGTTTTTTGTGATTTCCCATTACTTATGAATTTCATTGTTCTATATTTCATGTGGTACAAGTTGAATAAAATTATAGCTAAATTTTCTTACTAATATTTTTTCCTTTTCTTTTTGGCATGATATCATTTTAATTTCACTCTAGAGCTTGCTTACACAATGGAAGTGACAGAGAAATGTGACGTTTATAGCTTTGGAGTGTTAGCACTGGAAATAATCATAGGAAAGCATCCAAGAGATATTGTGATGTCTTTTTTCTCGACCACATCTTCTATAAGAGAGGCAACAATAGAAGCCTACGATTTTCCTTTGAAGGAAGTGTTAGACCAAAGGTTAATTTATCCTCAAGGTTCAGTGGCTGAGATGGTGATGCTGATTGCAAGAGTAGCTTTCACTTGCTTGAATGAAAATCCACAAATTCGCCCAACCATAGAGCAAGTGTGTAAGGAGCTTGCCACATCAGCATCGCCTAGTTTCGTTCCATTCCATAGTATCACATTTGGAGATCTCAACTGCAAAGAGTTTTGAACTTTATCAGTATTGATGTATCGTCTTCATATGATGTACTCATGTAGTTTAGCTTGTCTTGAATAATGATCAAAAGCCCCTATTTTCTAGTCTTAATTTTCTTTTCATTCCTAACTTTTTGATCTAATGACAATAAGGCTGCACTTTGTTTTGCTTCAGCCAGTTCTACATGCATCTGTATGCTTTCAATTTCTTTTTTATTTATTTTTCCGATTACGCTTTGACTATTTTTTCATAATGCGCTTTACTGTCAATTATAATTTGGTTTAATTATTTTAAATGTTATGTTGCATTGTGGTTAAACTTCAAAACTTTTGTCCTCTTTGCGTTTTTGATACCTCTATGACTCTCATATCTTTTCTTATATCTCATCAATTGAAAAATAGAGTTAAAATCATCACTTCTAATTTTTCATTTTCATTTTGAATCTTTATTCATATCTCTTCTTCATTTTAATTTTATTAAACTATCCAAACAAAACATTTTAAATACATGAATTCTAAATTTGAGATTTGAATGTGAGATTTTAAATTTAAAATTTAAATCCAAGTCCACAAATTCAAATGCTACCTAACAATAGTTTCTTTCGCAACTATTAAATTACTGTCCATAAATGAGTTGAAATATGAAATAGCTCACTATTTTTCTGGATAAAAAATGCACCTAAAAATTACAATGCTCTTTAATCAAACTAGAAATGAATCTAATAACCACAAACACAAGAAAAGAAGGAACATAACATGTTGAGTGTAATAAATTCAATGAATGCAATGGGCTACTTTTCAATTACATACTTTAATTTTTTCTTTTTGTCAGGCCAACAAGACAAATTAAATTCACTAGTTTTCAACAGAAGGAAGACATCTACAAACCTTTATAGGGGAGACATGGTAGAAATCAGGCACTCAAGTCCCATGATTTATGTGAATTAAAGAGAAATAAATTAAAGTGAAGCAGATCAAAGGGAAATTAGAACCAGAAAGGGGAAATTTTCACTGGATAATGCGAAAAGAAACTGTTGGATGATCACATCTAAATGAGGATATGAAGTCATGAATTCAATGAGAATCAAGCCTTATGGCTATATTCTCCATATATAGTATATTAATAATTAGACTTCTGTGGTAAATTTAGTTTGAATAGTATATCATCAAGCGGTCGAGAAAAAAAAATGAATCCACAAGCAGGGACATAACTACATACATATAATTCATCAACGTACTTTTGGAAAGTAAAACCTAATTTAGTACAAGGGTAACATATTATAGTATTAAAATTAAAATTTATCATAAGTTCTTACAATATTGTGGGTATCAATCAAAAGATTGGCTATCACACTACTACCAAACAGAGAAGTTTGGGAGCATTTATTTTTGGTTTATAGGAATGTTTCAGAAGAGCTCCCATATCCAAAAGACTCCTACATGAAAGCTTTCCAGTAGGGTGAGCCTATGGTAATGCTTTTGACAAAAGTGCTCTTATAAGGGGAGCCTTACAGGAGTGCTCCCATAGGTTAAAGATTTTTTAAAAATTTTTTTATTATACCCAATGGGAGCACTCCCATAGGTCAAAGATTTTTTTTTTATACCCAATGGGAGTGCTCCTATAGGCTAAAGATTTCTTAATATTTTTTATACTCCTATCGGAGTGATTTTGTAAAGAAGCACTTTAATAGGTTCAGCTTTCCAGAGTGCCTCCTTACAAAAAGCATTGTAAATTGTTCCATCTCATTATCTAGGAGCATTTTTAATAAGTAAGCTTTTTGGTAAGGGCGTTATCGTAAGTTTTCTTTGTATAGTATCAGATCCTTGTGAATTATATTGTTTCTTAGCAAATACTCTCTATAGGTTAAAGATTTCTTAATTTTTTTTATAATCCTATCGGAATGCTTTTGTAAAGAAGCACTCTAATAGGTCCGGCTTTCCAGAGTGCCTCCTAACAAAAAGCATTTTAAATTGTTCCATCTCATTATCTAGGAGCATTTTTAATAAGTAAGCTCTTTAGTAAGGGCGTCCTCGTAAGTTTTCTTTGTAGTAGTATCAGATCCTTGTGAATTATATTGTTTCTTAGCAAATAATCTCCATACCCTTGCAGACATCAACCGAAAACTTTAGTAGTTGAGAGAGCTCTAACATATTATTTGGTTTTTGTGCAAGTAATTATAGAGACTTCCTACAGGCATATACTCTGCAAGCAAGGCTAAAAAACTTAAGCTAACACAAGTAAAAGCATACTACTAAACTATTCAAAAGAAAAATGCCCAATGACATAGTAACATACATAAACTAAATGCACAGAGAGACAGTATTAACAAACATGAGTGAAGTGCCAATAACACAAACAACACTATCATGATCACAACTCAGGCTAAAGGAAAATAATTCACAATGTCACAGATGTCACTACGTTTATTGATAATCAGTCTACCAATAAAGTTTGTCAATAACAAAGAGATCAATACAATGTTCAGCAACACACAAAAAAGGAAGCGAATATATATATATAGTATATGTATATTTAAAGATCTCCAAATTATTCAATTGAAAGGTCACATCATAAAGTCTCCTGCTTTAATAAATAATTATTATATTTAAACAAAAGTTAAAAAAAATAATATAACTTTTAGTCCTTCAAGTTTATCTCAATTATCGATTTAGTTTTTTAATTTAATTTTTATTAGTTATATTATTTTTTTTATTGATAATAGATATCCTCTTATTATAGATAATCATATTTGAGGTATAGTTTAATACTAAATGTGGGCACTTCTCTCAGTGAGCATTTGAATCTTAGTTCGTCATATTGTAAGAGACTAACTTTTGCTATTAGACATAACCCTTGTTAGTGTTAATTATATTCTTAATTCTTAATATACACTAAATAATAAATTTTAATGTAAAATAATTTGTGTAAAAAAGCAATTCTAAACAAAATATGTGTTTTATGTTTTAAATTTGTGTTGATATACCCCCTCTGTTCAAAAATGTAAAGACATTTTTAACCAAATCTCACTCCTAAATAAAGTAGTTACCGACTTTCCAACTAACCATATTTTTCCATATTTATCCCTATTAAACACACTATAATAAATATAAAGTCATTATTAATAAGGGCACTTTTGAAAAAAAGGCATGATTACACCTCGAAAGACTAAAATGCCTTACATTTTTGAACATATAACTCCTCAAAAAATAACTTATATTTTTGAGCAAAAGGAGTAACAATTTCTTAAAAAAAAATTGTTCAAAGAGAGATAAGAAATTCTGAAATAAAATAAGTACTAATTTTCTCTGTCTTCTAAACATTGGAGAATAAAAAAGTTATTTATATATACTTTCATTATTATAGTTATTTTTTGTTAATTACTTAGAAAAATTTATTTTACATCTTTTAATTATCCGTTTTCATTGGAGAACATATTTTCATAATTCTATAATTTTTTACAGGAATAAAAATTTAGGTGAGTTGAATCTTGAGAGCTCACAAGAACCAAAGTCAGGTTAGAAGCTTTTTTTTTTTTTTTGCCAATAGGTCGATATTTAATGTGATTGCATATGTATAGATTCAACTTTGAAATCTTGAGAAATACTATCACCATTCTAAATTATAAGATATTTTTAGACAATACTAATATACCAATAAAGCTCAATGATGACACTATATAAACTTATTTTTTCAAAATAAAAATATAAATTTTTAAAAGTACCATTCATTTAATATAAGGTTAAAGGAAAATTTCACCTCTTAACTATTAGCTTAGTAGCATCTAGCATCCTAAAGTTATATGTATCACAATTTTGCCCTTCAACATTTGAAAATGGTATATTGGACACCATGTTGTTAAAAAATTTAACTTTAACTGTTAGTTAATAAAAAATAATTACAAGAAAGGCCTTAAAAATTATAGAAAATGACCATTAAAATTACACATAAATACCCTATAAGAACATTAACATAAAGTAAGTCCTCTAAGTTACATGTAAATAAAAAGATATAAGTGTTATTTCTTATCCACACAAAAAGCTAAAATGATTTTGACTAACCATTATTTTAGAGACTTAATAGATATTAATTTTCTTATATAATACTTATTTACAATTTTATGCACTACTACATAAAAAGGCTTTGGTGGCATTTTAAATTTTAATTTTGTGATGTTTGTAAAATGCTATAAATCTCAATGCTATTAAAAGCCTTAGGTGGCGTTTCATTAATTAATGAACGCCACAAAAAGCTGACACAACGGTGGCATTTCTTCAAATAAAAAACACTACTTCTCAAAATTATTTTTTTAAAAAAATAAAAGGAAAGAGGTGGCGTTTATTCTAATAAACGCCACCTCTCTTCCTTTGCTTTTTTTTTAAAAAAAATTGCAAGCATAAATTTATATATTATATATATAATATTTCATATATTCATCAATTTATATACACAAATTTTTTAATAAATATATAACTAAGTTATACAATAATTTTGATCTATATAATTATCATAACTAAATAATTAATTTTGCATTATACAAAACTTCAATAAATTTAGCGAGATCATAAAAAAAAAATCATGAGAGTATCTCAAATACTTCTCTTGCATATTTATTGAATCTGTCAAAAATTTGAATCAAAGTCAGAGTGACAACATATTTAAGATTATATATATATATATATATATTTTGCAGAGGTAAAAATATAAAATTAACTTGCCTCTAGATTAAACTTTTAGCAAATAGTAGCACGGCTAGGATAAGAAATATTTTTGAGCTCAATAAATGCCACTTCCCTAGCCTTATTTGTTAAATAACATGGTATACTAATTAAAATTATTAATTTAATAAATTATAGTAAAATAATTATTTAATCTAATAAAAATAAATCAATAATAGAGAAGAGAGGTGGCATTTTCAAGCTCAAGAAACGCCACCTCTCTGCTTTTTAATTATTAAATAACAATATATATATTAACAATTTATACTAATTAAATAACTTAGAATAATATA